TAAAATGCCTCACAGAAAGAATTCCAAACATAAAATTAGAAGGAAATGTTAGACAACATTTGGGTATAACAACAGTGTTTCATCTCAGTATTTCATTCCTTTTGAGTGTTTGGGTAGGCAAAGGGGAGAGCCTGAAGGCATGAAGTACAAGGTGAAGGAGAAATTTAGCACAAGGGCTAAATTAACAGCAGGCCACATGACCCCAAATCTTCACAAGCAGTAGCAGCTGGAGGAGGGTTCCTGGAGGCTGCCTGCCCCTCCCATTGCCAACAGTGCCCACTCGAGCCAGAGTCACACTCCAGGGAGCAAGGCCAACATGACTGCACCACCAGCCTATGTACAGTATTTCTATTCTTATGAATCACTCTTGGGTAAAATGCAGGCCTATTCATGCTTGTTGACTTTGGGTTGGTCATAACTCCAACGTCCTGGTATAATACAATTATGATGGACTTCTCTGAGTAATTCAAGTTAACTAAAATTTCATAATTCATTATATTAATTCCAATTTTAATCAAAAGTGCTGATTCAAGCTTAATGGTATCCTGGGAATTAGGTGCCCAAAAAGTGAGGCTGGCAGCTCTTAAAAGTCTCTTGCAGCATTTACAGCAGACTAAAATAAAAGTTGCACGGATCGTTCAGTGGTACCCTGTCCCTGGGTCCAAATAGATGCCTTTGTCCTATAGCTGGTATGGTGACAGTGGTTGAGAAAAGCAGCAAAGAAACCACCAGCATTCTCTTTCCTTGCCTTAGCTTACCATGCTGCTCTTTTGCACATCTAGGGTACAACACAGGTGTGTGCCACCAAGCTCGGCTTCAGATAAGCCCAGAAGAAATATAGTGCTAGAGGGATTTGACTTGGGAGGGAAGCTCGAAATATATTTCAAAATATGTGCTTCATTAAGTAAAATAGCAGCAGAAGGAATGTTTTATGTGTATGTAGAAAATAAAAATAACGATTTTCCCTGTCTAGACAAGATCTGCCTCTCAGAAACTATTATTGGGACTGTATCATTCAAAATCACACCCTGAGCTCCTGGGTCCCCTAGCCAGCCTGTGACCCTTGCCTAAACTGACTGGCTCAACACTGACTTGTGCTATCATTGGCTGTGATACAGAGACATGATGCTCCCAAGAGGGAAGATTGCACCAGCCAAGCACACAAATGTGCAGTATTTCATCACCCTCTATTGGTCTGTCTAGGATTGTGACACTACTTTTCCGTTGACTCTAAATACCAGGCTATCAACAGGCACAAGTCCTGGCTGGCCAAGTGTGGAGTCAGCATGGGAGCCGAGGTGCATGGCATGAACGGCTCTTGGATTAACAGAAATGGATGAAGCACAGATCAGAGCCTAAATTAGATCTCATTGTCCTTTGTTTATGTACCTATTTTAGCATTATCACAATGGATGGTCAGTTGCCTGTCTTCCCACAGGGACTGTACCTTAATTGACTTTGAATCCTGTGACAATCTTAGATATCCCAGATGCTCAATAACTGGGAGTCAATTCCCAATTTTATCAGCTAACAAGAAGGGCAGCTACTCTGAATGAAATATAACAAATTTTGTAGACACTGGCCTTACTCTGAACCATTATATTTTATTATAATTTATATTTTCTCTTCCTGTTCACGTCCACTCTTTCCTGGAAAACACAAAAATAGATAAGGCAGATGTATGACTATAAGAATAATAATAACACAGTAGATGAAAGTCCGAATGAAGTCCTCACCTCCACATAGCCTTTAAAAAAAAAAAATACAGGTGTGCATTGTGGCACACACCTATAATCCCAGCAACTTAAGAGGCTGAGACAAGAAGATTGCAAGTACAAGTTCAGCCTCATCAACTTAGTGAGACCCTGCCTCAAAATAAAAAATAAAAAATAAATAGATCTGGAGATATAGCTCAGTGGTAAAGTACCCTGGGCTCAATCCCTAGTATTAAAAAAACAAACAAACCAAAAAAAAAAAAAAAACCAAACCTCTAAACCTATGCTTCTGGATACCTGCACCTAGTTATTTTTTTAATCCATTTAACCTACTAAATTGAAATACCATGTGCCTTTTTAAATTCATGGCCTAAGTCATACACCACAACCACCCCAAAGTATAGGGCCCATAAAATTTCACAAGATCAATAATAGCCCAAAGTCTCAGTAAATACAACAGAAAACCAGCAACAAAGTTTGTTCTTTCCTTAAACATTTTTTTTTCCCCTGTACTGGGTATTGAACACAAGGGATGCTTTAACACTGAGATACATCCCTAGTCCTTTTTATTTTTTTATTTTGAGAAAGAGTCTTGACAAATTGCTGAGGGCCTTGCTAAGTTCTGAGGCTGGCCTCAAACTTGCAATCCTCCTGCCTCAGCCTACTGAGTCACTGGGATAACAGGTATGCACCGCCACACCTGGCTGTTCTTTCCTTATTAGTAAGGATGCACATTTAAAAGTGTTCCCACAGACTAGCAGTAGAACTACTAGATACGGAATCTACTAGATACGAATCTATACGGAACCGAACGAGGATCTCATATAGTCAAAAAGATCCAGGTTGATAAAATGTTTGGTGTTTAAGCATACACCCTAAAGCTCTACTAGTTGCTTCAGTCATCTGAATAATAATTACACAAAAAAGGCTCAAATGTTTTCAAATACTTTGCCATTTCCACAAGTTACAACAATTTTCTACAATTCCTTTCAGCCAAGCCGCCAGAAGGTAAATTCCTTCTAGTGAAATGTCTGACAAAGCATGATAATTTTTAATCCTAAATCAGTGAGGCATAAACTTTTCTACATTACTTTTTATAAACACATAAAGGCTTACTTCTTTTTATAATTAAATCTGGGGATTTGTTTCTTTCTTATTGCTTAACTATTGTTAGGTAGGAGGCAAGGCAAGGGGAAAGGGCTATCCCTTAGGGCTCTCCAGACTACCTGGGGCCCTCATGACACTTCACCTGAAGCCCCTTTCCTGAGGGGAAACTGGGCCATCTTGCAGTTAAAGAGAGGAAGCAAGATGACTTGAAAGGAAATTCAAGACCAGGAAGGGAAAGTCATGAATCTTGGGAATGCCACAAGTACTGACCCAAAGTTAACTTGTTGCTAGTTAACATATCATTAGCATTTCAGTTTCCACCCCTCTGTCCAGGGGAAAAAGAAACTTACACATGAGCAGGAGAGAAGAAAGTATGTCAGGTTCAGCTGTCAAACAAGGTATCCATGAATCCCAGATCCACCCAGGGGAGAGGGGAGAGCTAGAAAAGCCCAATAAAAGAGAGTTCCACTGTGTAGACCACACACACACACACACACAGCCTTGAGCTACTTCACAGCTCTGCCCACACTGCTCTCTCAAAGTGTTTTCTTCACTTTCAGTAACCCTCTGCCTTGCCTGCCAACCTTTTGTGTCCTGCTCAGTTCTTTGCTCAGGAGGCCATGAACCTGTACTGGGGACCCCCTAAAAACCCCTCCCTTTGTGCCAGTAACACTCTGATCCAAGTGTCTTTAACAATTCTTAAAATTCTTACCCTGCATGAAAGGGTTTCTTTGGACAAAGGTAAAGACAGGGACTGCCTGGCCCAGTTGATTTGCTAGTTAACTCCTACCAGAAGCTAACAGGAGTCATATAGGGGAAAAGGATATCATGTCAAAAAAGTTTAATAAATGGTATGTTAAATAAAATTAAACACTTTTCTTTATTACAGGACTTTTCTGAGCCTTTATCACTATGCACTAGTACTCTCCAAAAGGAAGGGACAGTAAGCTTATCCCTCTGGAGAGTTGGTTGTTGTTTGGGGTTTTTTGGTGGGGCAGTAGTAGTCAGTTTTCATCACTATTACAAAAGAAATGAGGCAGGTCATGTTTGGGGATGGAACCCAAGGCCTTAGCATATTCTAAAAACACACTTTACCACTGAGTTACACCAGCAGCTGAGAGTTATTTATTTCATGTACACTATTACCATTAGCCTTTAGCAATAAAGCATTATTTTAAGGAACGTACTTTGAGGAACTCAAGTTAGAATAAGATGCTAATAAAGCCTCAATTATAAGTGTTAACTCCCTGGTACTTCAGTAAGCCCTGCTATGTTTGGATACGGCTTAAGTGTGTTCCCTCAAAGTTTCATGTACGGGAGACTTGGTCATTAGTGTGGCAGTGCTAAGATGGTATATAACTTTATAAGATCCTAGGTCAACTGAGGGTGCTGCCCTCAGAAGAGATTAAGATAATCCTCTGCAACTCCATAGTAGTTCTTTTTTCCCCTTCCTTTTCAATAAATTGTTGAGGCTGACCTCAAACCTGCGGATCCTTCTGCTCCAACCTCCCAAGTCACTAGGATTTTAGGCATGCACCATAGCACCCCGCCCCCATGATACTTCTTACAAGTATGAGTTGTTATAAAAGCTTGAAGCCTACCCCTGACTCACTCTCCCTTCTTCCTGTCTTACCATGTGATCCTTCTACCCACATGAGCTCCACCATCCACCATGAGTTCCTCATTAGAGACCAGGTGATCTTCCCATGCCATGCCCTTGAGCCTCCAGAACTGTGAGTTAAATAAATCTCTTTTTTTCATGAGTGGCCTGCCTCATTTCTTTTGTAATAGTGATGAAAACTGACTACTACTGCCCCACCAACACTTTTAAACCATTGACTCTATCTTTATAACCATAGGAATCCATCTTCAAATGCACACCCTTAGAAACTAAGACACCACCTATACAATACCTGTAATAAGAACATATAAATGAACTATAACACTTATCACCACCTTCATGATAAAAAGTTATATAACAAATTAGAATAAATTAAATTAAATTAAATAAAGTCAACCCAAACTCAGGCATCTGCTGTTTTGCATTAAGGACAGAATTTTAAGTAATCCAAGGCCTAAGGAAAGCACTGCTCTCTGTATATTTCACATTCAAATTGGGAAAATATAAACCTACCCAATGTGAATATTTTAATGATCATAATGAAAAGAAAGACTTACCAACAGAAGCTGAATTTTTAAGAACGGACTCCTTCTCAGCTCCTTTTTCAATTCGTAATGTGGCCCACTGTTCAAAAACAAGAAGTATTAATGTAAACTCTTCTGTAGACACAATGTAAACTACTCAAACCTTCATTCTAGCCCTCAGTTTCCTTATTATAAAATGAGAATTATCATTCCCATCCCATAAGATTGCTGTCAAGATTAATTGACATTACATGCATAAAGACCTAAACACGGGGCACAAAGTATAATGATTCTTTTCATAATAAACTAGGCATTCAGGTACAAGACATGTTCAAAGACGAATCAGAAAAACTTGCAGAGCCAGGCTCAGTGGCTTCTCAGGAGGTTTAAATAGGAAGATCATAAGTTCAAGGACAGGCTGAGCAACTTAACAAAGCCCTGAGCAACTTAACAAAGCCCTGAGCAACTTAGCAAGATGCTTCCTCAAAATAAAAAGGGATGTAGTTCACTGGTAAAGCATCACTGAATTCATCCCCAGTTCACCATCATCATAATAATAATAAGGCTAGGCATGATGGTGCTCGCCTGTAATCCAGGGGGCTTAACTGAAAATTCAAAGCCAGCCTCAGAAACTTAGCAAGGCTTGGAGCAACTTAGCAAGACCCTGTCTCAAAATAAACAGTAAAAAGGGTTGGGGATGTGGCTCAGTTGTTATGTGCCCCAGGTTCAATCCTTGGTACTAAAAAAAGAGAAAAGAAAAAGGGAGGGAAAAAAAAAACAAAACAGCTTACAGAAAGAAGCAGCACAGACTCGGAAAGCTACAAAGAGTAAGTGAAATCACTAACTAAATAAAAAACAATCTGTCCACCTAATTACTGACCTATTAAGATGCATAGGAAAAAATGTTATGATTATAAGGATCTACAGGCTTAGGAGAATTTAAGAATTGGAAAAACAACTCTCACTTTATTTAAATATACTGAGATGTGTTTTTAATTTTTTTCTTTATACATTTCTTATGTATTTCTAAAATTTACCTTTTAATATCATAGTTTAAAAAGCACAAGGGAATTTTTTCAACTCAGTATTCTAGAGAATCCTCAAATGCTGTCTTTTAGTTTAAAATAGCCAATTAGCCAGGAGCAGTGGTATATACCTACAGTCCCATTTAACAGAGACAGGAAGATTGCAAGTTTAAGGCTAGCCTCAGCAAACTAGTGAGAACCTGTTTCAAAATAAAAAATTAAAAAGGAGTAAGGATGTGGCTCAGTGGTAAAGCCCCTCTAGATTCAATTGCCAGTACCACAAATGAATAAATAAGTAAATAATAAAAATAGTCAATTAAGGGCTAGTGGTATAGTTCAGCAGTAAAGCTCTTGTCTAGCATGAGCAAGGCCCTGAGTTCAATCCCCAGAACACAGAATAAAAAGAAGAAAAGCAAATTCAAATGACATCTAAAAGATTACAATTTGATTTCAAAGTGGGGGGGAAATAAGAGGCAAAAAGCTATGTAAAAATTATAATTGAATATAAGTACCCATGAAGGGGTAAAATTGAATATAAGTACCCATAAAGGCAAAAACCTTTACTATTAGTATTTCCAAAAACCTATTACTAGGCTCAACAGGTGTGTAAAGCAGAGAAACTGAAAGTTTTTTAAAAAAAAATAAATTAGAAAATAACTGACAGAATAAATAGCCCAAGCATAAGTACAAAGGTCAAGGATTCTGGCACAGACCACCAGGACCCCTGCACAACAACTTAAAAAGCTAAGAAGGCACATGCCAGCACGCTCAGGAAACACCTATAAATAGAAGTCTGATCTTCCAGCTTCAAGTGGCAAGTCACTGATGACAATTAGACTTGGTCTTAGTCTGGCTACATCATTTTAGATATTGCTGATTTGGCACAGGGTTTCTCAAACTCTGGACTCCTACCTTTTCTCAACTGAGATAAAGGTTAATTTCCATAGTTTCTTACTTAAAGCTTTGGACTGCATTATCATTTGAAAATAAGCCAAAGATATGATAAAATAGAATATTGTTTTTATAATAGTTTACTTTTTTACAATCCAGCATTATTAACCTCAGAACTGACTTTTTAATTGTATGCAGATGATTTTATATTTTATATAAATGTAGTTCCATAGGTTGGAATAATTACCCCATGCTCATATGATGGAAAATATTGGTATTCTGTGGCAGTTAAGGGCTGAGTTATAGCCCCCAAATTCATATGGTAAAGCTCGAACCCCATACTTCGGAATGTGACTGAGAGAGGTCTTTAAGAGATGATGAAGTTAAAATGAAGCCCTTAGAGTGGGCCATATTCCTATCTGACTGGTGTCATAAGAAGAAATTGGACAGCCAAAGAAATTCCAAGCATGTGTGTGCACGGAAAAAAGATCACGTGAGGGCATAGTGAGAAGGTGAACCCCTGCAAGACTAGGAGAGGCCCCAGATCAAAACCACGACTGCCGACACCTTGATCTTGGACTTTTCGTTTCCTGAACCATGAGAAAATAAATTTGTGCTGTTTAAGCCACCCAGTCTGTGGTATTTGGTTGTGTCAGCCCTAGCAAACTATACAATGACATTTTTCAAACACTGAGTGACATTCCTTAAAGAGCAAGAAAGAGTTTCAGAATGCCAAAGAACTGCAGTGACTGTGCTCAATGTAAACAAATGTTAGACCAGGCTCTTATAATCCCAGCTATTCAGGAGGCCGAGGCAAGAAGGATCACAAATTCAAGGTTAGCCTGGACAACTGAGAGAGACTTTGTCTCAAAATAAAATGAAAGGGCTGGAGATTATAGCTCAGTGGTACAGCACTCCTGGATTCAATCCCTGGTAATACACAAACACACACACACACACACACACACACACACACACATAAATGTTATGTTGGAGAAGCAGCTATTTAACGCTAAAAAGAATTTGTATTAGAAAACCATTTTCTTCCATAGGTTTACTCTCCAGTGAAAGTAAAATCCTGCCTGTGCTTTGCAGCCAGCCAGCTATATGCTGGAATTTTAGTCCTGTCATTTCTTGGCTCCAGCTATTTCAGAGAAGAGCCTTTAACCTTGGAGCATCCATTTCATCATCCCTAAAATGGGGACAATACCAAGGGTGGTTGTGAAAATTAAAGGAGCAATATATCTGTTGCCATAGTAGGCCATAAAGAATAGCAATGGCTTCCTCTTCCTCCCCACACCCCACACCTTATTAAGTTACCAAAGATGACCAGTTTTTTCTCAAACTATCAGTGTGTCTCCCAATAGATACCTATTTTTCTTTCACCATGCCAGCTTCTTCCACCAATTGAGTAAGCCCAAATATAAAGGCAGAATATCTCTACTAGAGGTTCTGAATCTCTTCTAAAGGATCTCAGAACAAATCTACCTCCAAGCTTCAGGAGAAGGCAGCTCTGTAGGCAAGAGGTTTCTGAAGGTAAGAAGTGGCATCTAACAACACCCTTTATTGTTCCCCACCTCAGTCTCACCCCAAGGAAAGCTAAGACACTTATCAATCAGGCTTTCTCTCCAATTAATTTCCACACCTTCTAAGAGAAAAATGGCAGCTATCCAAAATTCACCAGTAAGAAGCAGTTTCAAGTCTAACTTTAAAACTTAAGCCCAAAGCTTGCAATATTGTGACACTGTCACCTAGACAATTACAACTTCCAATTTTTCAACTATCAAGACATTTAGGGATTGACTAAAGATATGGAAAAGGAAGAAGAAAAGTGCATAAAATTGAATAAAAATTCAAATTATGAAGCTCACTCAAGTAACAGCTGGCTGCCATCTATAGCCAAATGAAAGTTTCTTGACAGAGGCTGTCATCTTGATAGACTAAGAATGCAGCCTCCAAATTAAAATCCCATTCTGTCACTGTCAGCTGTATGTTGCTGCCCAGACATATTTTCTCTCTGAACCTCCACCTTCAGATCTATCAGTGAGAGTAATGATAGAGTTGTGTGGAATTAAGATAAATGCAAAGCACAATACTTGGCCAGCTTTTATTTAATATTACTTTCTATCATCAACATCGGGGCCTTCTAGCACATTTATTAAGTTCCAACATCAGATATAATATCTATTATACAGGTGTTAATAAACATCTGATAATTATTGATGTACTTTTTTTTCACCCCCAATATTAAAGATTGAACCCAAGGAAACTTTAACAATTCACTGAGCTACATTCCCAGCCCCTTTTACATTTAGGCTTGAGACTGGATCTCACTAAAGTCCTGAGGGTTTCAATAAGTTATGAGGCTGGCCCACAACTTGTAATCCTCCTGCCTCAAGCTCTAGAGTCATTGGGATGACAGCTGTGTACCACTGTGCCCAGCTTGACATGCCTTTTTAAAAAGACGGAGAAGCCGCGATCAGTGGCATATACCTGTAAACCCAGTGGCTTGGGAGGCTGAGGCAGAAGGATCTTGAGTTCAAAGCCAGCCTCAGAAAAAGTGAGTTGCTAAGCAACTCAGTGAGACCCTGTCTCTAAATAAAACACAAAATAGGGCTGGGGATGTGACTCAGTTGTTGAGTGCCTGAGTTCAATTCCCAGTACCCACTCACCCCCCCCCCAAAAAAAAAAGAAAAGAAAAAAGATGGAGAGGGCTGGGGTATATAACTCAGTGGTAAAGTACTTGCCAAGAATATGTGAGGGACTGGGTTTAATCCTCAGCACCATAAAAAAATTAATAAAGATATTGTGTCTATCTACAACTTCAGTTATAATTTTTTTAAATGTAGAACTAATTGGTGGAGAGAGGAGAGAGTAAAAATAATATACAAAAAAAGAGGAATAATCTGCTCTGAGTACATGTTGACTCACCAAAGATCTGAAGATACATTAAATCTTAGCTTCATATAGGTACATAATTAATTAATTTTAGATGAATTAAAACAGTATCAAAGAATGTCCTAATCCAAACTCCATGAAATTTTCAGCATCTACTATATATCAAATGCTTTAATTTATTCTCCTTTAATTTGCAGAATAATCCAATCCATCATATTTGTCCATACACATGTACAAACTAAGCTTGAGATGTTAAGTGACCTAAGGCCACAAAGTCAGAAATTTGGAGCAACTCATTCATACTTCCATCTTATTCCTGAAAAATGGAGAAAAGCTGAACACAGTAGCACAAACCTGCAATCCCAGCCACTTGGGAGACTGAGGTGGGAGGATTTCAAGTTTGAGACTAGCTTAGGCAACTTTGCAAGACCCTGTCTCAAAACCAAATGAAAAAGAAGGCTAGGGGTGTAGCTCAATGCTAGAGTGCTTACCTAGCAAGCACAAGGGCCTGGGTTCAATCCCCAGCACCAGACACACACACACACGAAGAAAAATTAGTCCTATTGTATGTCCATTGCCTGTATATCTGATTAGATAATTTAGATCGTATGTATCATTCCCTTTCTATCAACTCTATATTCTCTTTCCATTCTTTATTTCTCTCTAAACATGAACCTTAAGTCAATGCGTAGCAATCCATCCCCACTCTCACCCCAATCATTAACCTTACAATTTACTTTCACGGTTGAGAGCAGCACATTTCAATGTTTAATCCGTGCTCCTGTTAAATAAATACAACTTCACACTCACCCTTCCACAGACTCTGACACAAACACACTACCATCTGGATCAATTTCCCTCTACACATCCCCTCAGATAAAAGTTTTACTTTTCACAGTTCTTATTCCTAAAATAATTTCCCCCTGCTGGGTGCGGTGGAGCACACCTGTAATCTCAGTAGCTGGGAGGCTGAGCAGGAGGATCGTGAGTTCAAAGCTAGCCTCAGCAAAAAGTGAGGCACTAAGCAACTCAGTGAAACCCTGTTTCTAAATAAAATACAAAATAGGGTTGGGGATGTGGCTCAGTGGTCAAGTGCCCCAAGTTCAATCCCCAGTACCCAGAAAAATAAATAAATAAATAAATAAATAAATAAATAAATAAAAGAATTTTCCCCAATATAAAGTTATTGTATTGACATATATTGACTAATAAATTATTATATATCCCTTGGAAATCATTGGTTAAGGACTCTTTAAACTCATACTAAGCCAAGCATTCAAGCCTTGTCCTCAAATAGTTTGCCATGTCAGAGACTTATACACACATCTAGAGACAACCAGCAATGCAGAAGGCAGCATGCAGCAGGTGCTCAATAAATGACATTAAATGAATTGGCAAACTAAGAAGGGGTCAGAAAAGAGTCATATAGCTCAGTGGATACCTTCACATTCAGAATGTTCTCCACATACAATTCAACCTACAGAATTTGAGTTGAAGGTCATATAAAAAACACTCCAATACTAATTAAATTTCTAGAAGTAAATACATATGGACAAAACTAAATGAACTTTTTAAATAGTATGTAAATTATAACCAATAAACTTGAGAACTATCCAATTCTTTCTTTAATTAATTAATTTATTTATTTTAATTGGATATATATGACAACAGAATGCATTTTGATTCATTGTACACAATTGCAGCTCAACTTCATTTCTCTGGTTGTATATGATATAGCATCACACCATATGTGCAGTCACACATGTACCTAGGGCAATGATGTCCATCTCATTCCACCATCTTTCCTGTCCCCATACCCCCCATTTGCCCCACTAAAGTTCCTTGTTTTTTCCATGCCCCCCCCCCCATTATGGATCAGCATCCACTTATCAGAGAGAACATTTGGCCTTTGGTTTTTTGGGACTGGCTAACTTCACTTCACATGATATTCTCCAACTCCATCCATTTATCTTCAAATGCCATAATTTTATTCTCTTATAATGCTGAGTAGAGAACTATCCAATTCTGATCAAAAAAGCCCAAAGAATATTTTTGGGACTGAAATGTAAAGATGGGGACAAAAACAAGAATCAAATTAATTGAGAACTTACTAAGCAATAATGAGTGACAGAAGGGCTGGGTCTTGAGTGGAATCTACAAAAAGGCAGCATATTGTCCAGGACTCATAATGTTCTAATGCTAGCAATTGGCACAATTTTTAAAGGAATTATTCCTACAGTGGGGAAAAGCAATCCACTATACTAACCCCAGCCTAACAGAAATGTCTCTGAAATATCTAACACTATTCTAGGTAAAGGATAGAAAATCCAGGGTTGCTATTTTCCTTTCTGAGCCTGAAGCAGAAATCACTATCATACCTCTCTTCCCTAATGAGCCCAACTGCTCCCCAACATTGGAGCTTCAGGCAGCATATCCAGCAAATCAGTGGACTTACAAAAGGAATTTCTGTTCAATTCCAAGCATCCCTCTGGCCTAATAAGTTGGTGTTAGTAACAAAGGTTGTTTCTTGTGGTGCCACCTACCTGGTTTCCAAGCTACTTGGTGTATCTCACTCTAGAATAGAAAATTGGCATTCTGGAAAAAACTAAAGTTCTTGGTTGTCAAGGAGTTCATCTCTGAGAGTCTTCTCAACTCCAGAGAGACAAATATCAAAACTCAGGCCAAGCATGGTGGCGCACATCTGTAATCCCATCGGCTCCGGGGGCTGAGACAGGAGGATGGAGAGTTCAAAGCCAGCATCAGGAAAGGGAGGTGACTAAGCAACTCAGTGAGACCCTGTCTCTAAATAAAACACAAAATAGGGTTGAGGATGTGGCTCAGTGGTCGAGTGGCCCTGAGTTCCATCCTTGGTACCCACCCCACCCCACCCCACTCCCTTAAAACTCAAGGCCTCCGCAAACTGAAAGCCAGACCCTGGATTGGAGAAAATTCCATCAAGATAGTAAATTTGCCTAGCTAAGAACAAGTAGCTGGCCTCGCCCTTAGATATCTCTTTAGCATTCCCTAAAACACAAAGGTAAAATAGACAGGAGTAAGCAACTGGAAGCCAGCATGTATGATAAACCTTCACTCAGTTCCCACTTGGGGTATGAGTTCCAAATGATATTGTTGTACAAGAGAAGAGTTCAATCATTCTGGAGTGCTGAAGATGAGGGAATAACAGCTGAAAAGGAGTATCCTCTGTGGGGAGAGAATTCTGAAGAAGTTCTAACAGAAAGAAGCAGCCAGGAAAATCATGGCATAGTGCAACCACACTCAGAATGTAATGGCAATGAGAAAAGCTCAATAATGAGAAATGTCTCCCAAGTAGAAAAAGTAGAACTTCAAAACCATTGAGGGCTGCCAGGCCAGCAGCCCACACCTATAATCACAGCAACTTGCAAGGCTGTGGCAGGAAGATCTAAAGTTCCAGGCCAGCCTTGGCTATTTAGTGAGGCCCTGTCTCAAAAATAAAAAGGTCCAAGGGTGAGGGTCAGTGGTATAGAGCGCCTCTGAGCTCAATCCCCAGTACTGCTAAATATATAAGTAAATAAAAATATGAGGACTGGACATGAGTAATCAAATATAACTTTAAGGGCTCAGCAAAGAAATAGCCATAAAGAGAAAGTTTGACCAAAACCTGGAGTAAAACAGAATATTAACAGGCATAAGTCACTGTCCCATGAGTTATATAGTATATCTGGGAGTCACATCCTTACTGAGGAAGAAGAGCAATAAAGCCATGTCCTACCAGTGGACAGAAAAATGGGAACACGTATTATAAGGTAATGTAGAAGCTAGAGAAACAAAGATGACAGAATCTAAGTAATCATATTATTGTTTTAATAACAACACACATACATAGCAATGAACACATGCAGACACATTTCTAAGGGCTTGACATATTTTAACTCATTAAAGCAACAGTACCAAAATAGGTACAATTTTTACTCCTATTTTATAGGTGAGTTAAACAACGTACAAGATGTATGTGACTTCCTAAGGTCACATATAGAAAAACAGAGCTGGGAGACTAGGGATGTAGCTCAGTAGTAGAGTACTTGCTTAGTATGCAGGCCCTGGGTTCAATACAAGTTATTGGAAAAAAAAAAAAAACGGAATAGGTTTTTGGTACCAAATGTAAACAAACCTGAACAGCCTACAGGGCCTCTCTTCAGTTAAGACTCCTGTTTTCAATACTTAGTTCAGACAAACCACTGAACTCTGAGTCTCGGTTCCCTTATCTGTAAAAGTGGATATACCTGTCCTCCCTACCTGATAAGACCCTTGAAACTCAAAAAATCCCTGAATAAGGGTAATCTGCTGTTATTCCCTACTGGACTCACGTGTATCTAACACCTTTCTCTGCAAAATTTGGAAACAAAACCTTAGGTAGGCAGAACTGAGGTCAAAGAATAGACCTTTGCAATGGCATTTCAAGTGCTATTGGTTAGATAAAATTTCCATGACTCCACGGAAATAAAATCAGATTTCTTTCTGCCATCCAGCAATTGGTTTCTTATCTTGGAAATAAAGTAGAACACAATGTTTTTGTGGACAAGATATCTTTGCGCACCAAAGGACCTCTGGAACTAGGCTGTAAAAACTGAGAGTGAAGCGAGAGCCGCACAGAATAATATCCATAAACAAATTCACTGATACAAAAGACTGCCCCATGGTTATTCTAATCTGTGAAATAATAACTGATAGAACTGAGGTAAAGTGTTTCTATCTTCAAGCAGGGGGAAAATAAGATGGTCCAGTGATCTCAGCCTGAATTCCTCCAGCTCTGCAGAAGATGCAAAGATACTGTTTTCCACGCTGCTAAGGACCAAAAAGAAAATATACAATTTCCGACTACTGGCCTTGGGGACTGGACCCTGAGTCATTTTGGCTCTGGCTTTCATAGCCCTAAGCTCAGTCCCCACAGCCCCGGGTCCCCTCTAGAGTCATCAGAGCAGTGAGGCCACAGCATCCTTCCTGGCACTCACCTCTAAAGTTTTCACCAGGATCTTCATGTAGATCTCGGAGATGCCCAGAGACACTCCGAAGGCCGAAGGCAGCAGGATGAGGCCCAGCACCAGCGTCAGCCAGGTGGACAGGATCTTCCCTGCCAGGTCTGCGCCTTCCATTGCTCAGCGCACCCACTCGGAAGAGGTCTGCAGAGGAGGTTCGGGCGCGACAGCTGTCCTTGTCCCCGGGCAGTTGGGCCAGAGCTCGGGAGCAGAGCACAGAACCCTGAGCTGGGCTCCGGTGGGTCAGCGCTGCCGCCTCCTGCCACTCACCTCTGCGGGACAAAGAGAGGAAGGAAAAAAAAAACTTTGAGAACGTCGGTAATTTCCTTCCTCCTCGGCTCCTCCTTGTCCCGACTGGTTCACTCTCCACTAAAGGCCGGGGCGAACCCTGAAGCCACGGGTAGCAAGCGCAGACCCGGGTAGCGCAGGCTGGAAGACGAGAGCTGGGGCTAGCTAAGCGACACCGCCGTGCGGTCAGAGCACACGAGTGCAGCCAGGAACGCGCCCCACCCCGTGCCTGATTTCCTCTATGTTGCGATTGCGACAACTCAGCGGTGACTCACCGAGGCCCTCCCAGAGCGAGGATCCCTGCGGGCGACCTACACCTCTGCACACAAGCTGGCTGGAGCCTGGCTACGCTCGGGCGTCCTGAGCCCTATTTCTGCACGCTGCCCTAGCCCCACCTCCTCTGCCACCCAACGGGGAGCTCCCTGGCAGGATGAGCTCCCAGCGCCGCAGCCTCCAGGGCTGCCTCCCTCCTTGCCCGCGCCCCACCTCCCCCAGCGCTCTCAGCAAAGGTCCTTTCTGGAGGAGAGTTTCCATCTGTAACACAGAACCTACTATTGACTATCCCGGACGCTTGCGAAGGTCTTGTCTGGGTTCGTGTAAAACGACCTCTTGGGAAGGGTTTGCAAGGAGAGGAAAAGGCAGCGTATGGATGAGCAGCCACACATGCCGCTTCTGGGTTTGCCCCACCACCTCCTTTTACGTGTCCCTCCCTACAGAGTTAAGGGGCTAAATCTTGCTTAACCGAAGAGTAGAAAGCTTTCTCCTTGAGTCGCCTAATTCCGCTGCCTGCTCCGGAGCACAGAAACCCCACCCACGGCTGAGTATCTGTCACTCCCTCCGTGGGGAAGATTCCAACCCACCTTCCTTCCCACCCATCCACCACCGACGCTGCAGAAAATGCCAGGCAGGAGCCAGCCTCCACCAAGCTGACAAGAGTCTCCTCGGGGTTCCGTCCCCGCACTGCTATGGTATTTACTCCCCTGCAGTCCAACTGGTTTTAAGAAGGAGCATGAGAAGGCATATTGAACACTACCGTAGTACCTAAGAAAATCAAGCTGCCCAGGGGACAGATTACCACTGAAATCAGATCTAACTCTCTTAATGGGACAAAATCTTTTACGGGTAACATTAGGGTGTTGTTTTAAGGTGGAAAAGCTGTGAGGACCAGCAAACTGAATTGAGACAGTGTTAATACTGTCTCTGCCTCCATCTTCACATGGCCTTCCCCCACCCCCACCCCCTAAAGTGCGGGTTAGTTGGAGGTTGAACTTAGGGGCCTTGAACATGGGCATGCTAGGCAAGCACTACATGACTGGCTACATCCCTGCCCTTCTTCTCTTCTTACAAATATTGTAAGGAAAAAAAAAAAACTGATCCTGCCAAGAGTGTAGAAGAAGTGCAGAGCCAGGGAATGATAAGCGCCTCTGCAAAGAATGTAAATGTCCTCTGTGCCTCCTGCCAGATAGGTGTCACAGACTCTCTGCTACTGAGAAGGGAGGGAAATCAAGTTATGATTGAAAAAGTGGCAGGAGCTTGGTTTCTCAAAATTAAACAGCTATCATCTGCCAGGGTACAGAAACAAGGAAAACACAACTGTCAGAGCTGTCTGGTACCTGCTGAAAATGATTATGTGTGTGTCTATATATTACCACATAATATACGCACTACACCACATAATATACATACCATGTATATGTGTATATATACATATACCTCATATTTTACATAAAATCTCAAAGATTATATTGGCTCATTTTAATGCTATGTTCAGGCAAAATTCTTTCCCTCTTTTATTTCCTCAAACCAAAATGACTAAAGAATGATGAATAACTGTACCAAAGTCCACTCAACAAAGGAAACAGTACAGGTAACTTTATGTTTCAGCTTAGCCATATGCTGGCACTGAGTGCACACGCTCTTGTGTAATTTTTATTGCTCATAACCAACACTGTGAACCGGTTTTGGTTTGGGGTTTTGTTTTGAAATTTCTGTGTCTACAGTAAAACTCTACGCAGAGATCAGAAGGTGACCTGGTCAAGTACAAAAGTTCTCCTTCTCTCCTAAAATGCAAGGGATCTACAACTGGCTCCCAAAGGTAACAAAGGCTCATCCTTGCAATGATAAGGAAGGAGAGGATTCTTACCTGCCCCTCCCCTTATGTCCCTTTCATTCATAGGAACCTCCCTCCCTTCCTGCAGTCAGGATCCTGCATAAACTGTGTTTTATTTCTTAGAGGTGCATTAACAAATTGCCACAGATTTAGTCACTTAATGGAGGACAGAAGTGTGAACTCACAGGACCAGGTTCCCTCCAAAGGCTCTAGAGGAGAATTTTTCCTTGACTCTTCTAGCTCCTGGTGGCTCCCAGAGTTCCTAGTTTGACACAACTCTGTCTCTGCCCCCATCTTCACATGGCATTCCCCCTCCAGAACCCCCTAAAGTGTGGGGTAGATGGAGGTTGAACTTAGGGACCTTGAACATGGGCATGCTAGGCAAGCCCTACATGACTGGCTACATCCCTGCCCTTCTTCTCTTCTTTTATAAAGATGAATTTTTATAAATCTTTTATAAAATCTTTATAAATCATGGATTTAAGGCCTGTCCTAACCCAGGATGATGCTATCTCAAGATCCTTCACTTAATTACACATCTTCAAAAACCCTTTTTTTCAAATAAGAGTTTCACATTCATAAATTTAGGAGTTAGGGCTTGGACATACCTTTTGGAAGTCTGAATTCAACCCAACATACTTTCCATCTCTGTAAAACGGGGATAATAATGCCTACCTGGAGAGGTTGTTATTGGGATTAGAGCTATTGTTTGGTGTTTTGTTTTGTTTTGTTTTGTTTTGTACCAGGGATTGAACTCAGAGTTGCTTAACCACTGAGCCATATCCCCAGCTCTTTTTTTATATTTTATTTAGAGATAGGATCTTGCTGAGTTGCTTAGGGCCTCACTATGTTGCTGAGGCTGGTTTTGAACTCACAGTCCTCCTACCTCAGCCTCCTGATCCACTGAGATTACAGGTGTGCACCACAAACGCAGGGCCTGTATATTTAAATTTTGCTGCATCCACCAGGTGCTGGTGGTGCATGCCTATAATCCCAGTGACTAGGGAGGCTGAGGCAGGAGGAGTTTGAGACCAGCTTCATCAATTTAGTGAGATCCTGTCTCAAAATAAAAAATAAAAGGGGGACAGGGGTGTAGCTTAGCAGTAGAGAACACCTGGGTTCAATCCCCAGCACCAAAAACCTAACTTCTTAACTTCCTTCCACCAGGCCTACCTCCTGAAGGTTCTACCACTTTCCAGTAGTGCCACAAGGACCAAGCCTTCAACATATGGGTCTTGGGGAATATTCAAGATCCAAATTATAGCACAAAACTGAAACATGTGGAGGCAAATCAGATTGTTGAAGTATTTTATTGACCAGACAAGTTTTGCATTCCTTGTCTCCAGTCTCTTTATGAGAACTTTCTTTTCCTCTGATTTCATTTTATACCTTTCTTGGGCCTTCATGATAACTGACCTTGATTTGTATATTTGCTTAGTCATCCCATAATGAACTGTTCAGTATCCAGACCTGCATCATTCCTCTCTACCTTTCTGCCTGTGTTCCACCCCTTCTGCACCTGCACAGTTTCACTTCATGCCACACTCTTTTTCAAAGTCAGCAATAACTCCCAAATAGCCACAAGTTAAAATGCCAAATACGGACCACTTTAGGTTAGATCTTGAAGCACTTTTAGGGGCAAAAGAACTCTTTCTCCCCCCTCTGTTGAGTTTAAAAATGAACTAACAGCCAGATGTGGTGGCACATGCCTGTAACCCCAGCAGCTTGGGAGGCTGAGGCAGGAGGATGGCAAGTTCAAAGCCAGCTTTAGCAATTTAGTGACCCCTAAGCAATTCAGTGAGACTTTGTCTCAAAATAAAATATTTTTTATAACTTTATTTTGTTTATTTAATTTGTTTACCTGGTGCTGAGAATCGAACCCAGTGCCTCACACATGCTAGGCAAGCGCTCTACCACTGAGCCACAACTCCAGCCCCATAAAATATTTTTTTTAAAGGCTGGGAATGCTAGGGATATGGCTTAGTGGTTGAGCTCCCCAGGTTCAATCTCCAGTATGAAAAAAGAAAGAAAGAAGGAAGGAAGGAAAGAGACAATAGACAGTTTAAAAGGAGAAAAGGCACACAAATTTATCACACACACATACACACACAGGGAATCACAAGAAGGAGAGTTCCCAGTAACCCAATGAGATCTAGAAGCTTCTATGTCCTTCTTCACAGGGGTAAGGATGTATAAGCTGTAGGCAATTTTAGAGGAATAATGATTTTAGGAGTGTTAAATGGACCTGAAAAACACTATAGAATCAAAGGCAAAATTCTCCTCTGCCCTCTGAAGCCTTGCTGGAATAAATGGACAAAGATTAAATAGGACACACAGCATACACATTTCTTAACATGCAAAAGAGGGAAATAATTAGTGTGGTTACCCACTAGTCCTGAATCATCCAGCAGCTTATATAGCCCTTTTTCTATAGGGGAAGGGAGGAAGCAAAGGTGATTAATGGTGCAAAAAAAGATTCTCTTTGGAATTCAAATAAAACAAAGTGATAGACATCATCTTGAAAGGGAAGTCCATCCCTTAGTCTTCTTGGTGGACAATGAGAATTAAGGATCAGAGGGAAGACAGTTGTGTACCCTTTTGCGGTCTGGTCTTAATGCAGATAATGGGATTCCAGAGAAATTCTCTCCAATACTTGGGTGGATAGAAGCAGTACAAGGTTTTCCTTTAGGTCAAAAACTCAGCATGCCTGTAGGCTGGGGATGTAGCTCAGTAGTAAAGTGTTTGTCTATCTGGCATGTTCGAAGCCCTGGGTTTCATCCCTGGTACTGCAAAAAGGAAGCCCAGCATGCCAAAAAAAACAAAAAAACTCTATTTTAAGGGTCTCATTCCCTGACCCTTAACAACAGACAACAGTTCAGAATAAAGTTCCTCTGGGTTCTGGGTGTGATATTTTGACTTTCAGTCTCTTCTGTGATATGAGTTTTAATCCTTTAAACTTCCTTGGTGAATATAATAACCAGGAGGGGATAAAAGGCAATTGTATTTCCTTTTGAGAGAGCTGGTCTTTAGGTAAGTAAGGAAACATCAGAGAAAAGCCTCCTCTAGCATCTGCTAATTTCCAAACAACTGCAATTGACAATAATTAGGACTGGAAGTGCTGCTCAGTGGAAGAAAACAGCTTAGCCTGTGCAAGGCCCTGAGCTCAATCCTCAACATTATAGAAAAAGAAATTAAGATAATAGCATGCCC